CCATTATGTACTCCACTTGATGGCGGATAACAAGCGGTGCTGATATTTCAGGGCCAGTTACTACTTACTACAAGTTTTCATTGACACCAGTTTCCGGGTAACCGGCCATGTTGTAATAAATTACTTAATCTCTGTATTGTGTCTACAATTGAAATAAATGAGCATGATGTTTTCTTTTGTTATTGTATTCGCCATCTTTTGTTCTAAAGATATATTCGACATGTTACCCGGCCTTATCTCAATGTAACTGCACCGCTTGCACATACGACTCTCATCTCAACATAAATCAAACAATTGCAAAGAAAACTTGAATAGCTTTCGGTTTTCTTTAAAACCTTTTTCTTGTCTGTATGAACAGTATGTGGCTTGGTTTATAACAAGGGTATCAGATCTGTGCCAGTTCTCTTGGAGCCAGACATTAGCTGCACGCAACGCCTTCACACCTAACCTCTCTTAGTTTGAATAACAACTGCTTTCACAGCACTTTACCTCAAATTGTATCTATTTGGAAATATAGCGAAATGTCATTAGTAAGACAGCTTAATTAAATATATTCCTGAAATTGTATGCGTGTGTTTTCTCATTGACTCAGCTGCTTTGTACACATACCGTCCAAGAATAGGTAACTACGAAATATTATGCAACCATTTGGAGGTCGAAAAAAAGTAGACAAATGATTCGATTCGGTTTTATGTCATTAGTTCAATGGCCATGTTATTTGCACAGGTTTTTGTGTAGCGGCTGGGAATGTTAGACAATATTACAATACCGGGCCACGCGTAGTAACACTTGGTAAATGATGACTGATTTTTTCTCTGCATTTTTGCATGATTCAGATTTTCCTGTGTCATCAATAGCTGTAACCACATGTAAAAGAAAATAATACTGATTAGGTATCGTCACCTTGCCTATCAGGGAACCCTCCAATACTGTGTCGTCAGGACACTTACCTATAAATAATTAAGTTTTTTATTTCGATCACCGTTTCCACAAGTCCCTACGTCACAAATCAAATTACTAAAATCCGTTTCTATTTTCGTCTGAGCCTGCCTTATTCGCTTATGAATCTTATTAGTTAAGTCAGGGACACTTTCATTTCATTAAGTCGCTCGTCAGGACTTGCCCACGTGCACGTGACTGACATATCATGTTGTCGTAGGCAGGGTAGCGTAGGGGCGTTACTCACACACATCGTGACGTTGTAAAGCTGCAAGTAAAGTAGTACCAGGAATAGTAATGTCAACTTGTAATATATGAACCCTTTGTTAGCACAAAAAACGTGCGACATCAACGTCAGGCCATTTTCCGCGTTTATATTGCTCTATTAATACCGCCTTATTTGCACGCTCAAGGCAGGGTTGACCAAGTAGTCCTGGGCAAGTGACGCGCGCTGGTCGTTGATGACGTCACGAGTTGCGTGCCAAATGTGACGAGGACCTCGCGACCTATCGCACCGGTAGCAACCACAGCCAGCCCAGCCAGTCACATTCCGACTCTGACAACAGACGCACGCGCTTAGTGTAGCATTTTATAAAAAAAAAACTTTATCGTAATTGTGTTGTGATAAACTGATGACTTTTAGAAATATGTGTGCCGTGACATTTGTCCTCACGTGTAATGTGTAGTGTGAGGTGATAGTGAAGTTTCTGATGAGTGTGCGGACTAGTGGCATGCTGGCGATGGGTATTATAATAGGAACCTGTGTGCCTGATGCTGAGCAGGACTCTGCGTATGGGGCTCAGATACGACGCCCGCCCAGGAGGATTCTGTACGGTATGCATCCCATAGCAGTGATAATATAATCTATACTTATTTACAAAACAGTTACAAATTTTATATCCATATTGTAGCATAAGCAGGTTCTTTAATACCTATCTATAATTTAGTGTTTACAGGTAATTTAGGCTTCACAGTAAATCCCTTTAATTAAAATTAATTAGGCTTCGCGCTCGGCACTAAGGCGACTTACAGAGATCCTTATTATGATTTCAAACGTTCATTATACTTTTATATTGTTGTTTATGTTACCAGTATATTATATAAATACTACGTGCCTATATACCTGCACGACACTTCATATTAGATCTTCACAAGGACGCATGTGTTGAGCAATGAACTTTAATGAATTACTTTTATTATGTCTGTGATGAAATTAGAAATCATTGTCATCAATCATTGGCTTTCCTTTTGTTCGCCGGAATTTTTATTTCGTTGGTACAAAATAATAATAGAAGCACTGAAGTTTTACCACGACACATGATAGCTAGTGTTAACATGAACAAAAGTTTTTTACTGCCAATTTGATGTACGAGGGATATAATAATACCACAGGTGAATTAATAAATCGGTGAATCATCGACACCACAGACTCAAAAACAATTATTATTACTCTTGTTCCTATTACTTAGTATGTTGTTTGATCAGTCCGCCCGATAACCGGTAACTCCACTCATTAGGTACACAATATCGATCCAAATAAAACAATCATAGAGAACCCAATAAAAAAGTTTTGTCTACCACGTACAATGAGTAACAAAAGTACTGGCGTACACAATTAAAAGTTTAAAGAACTGTGGCTGGTAACTTGTTTCTAAGTAACAAATTAATAAACAGACTGTCTTCCAAAATATTTTGGGTAATGGTTGCCGAGACTCGCTGTGGTAGTCTGTAACGATTTCACTTTTAAAAAGTTATTGGTTGTGAAGAAATTCCAAGCCTTAACTCAGAAAGTTTTGGTTGAAATCTATAGCTGTTTCATAGACTTTATTTTGTTTCTTATGTTTAGTTTTTGAATTGTTGCTATAAAAATTCGATCGTTATTTGCTCATAAATTTTTGTCAGTGCCTGTACTAAGTAGGTCGTTTGTGTAAACATAGGAATATATCAATTTTACTCAGTGAGGTCAAATTGGATTAATAATATTAATATCCTTTTTGTTACTGTTTGTTCAACTATAATACTTTTATTTGATTACTCGATTTTAATTAAATTTTATCTGACTGTTATTGCACGTACTAGAGGTTTTTGGACATTTTGAGATCTTCTAAAAATAAGTGAGTTGGTTGACATTTTTAAGGAGAAATTGAACAGTTTGCTAGTCCATCATATTCAGAGATTAGACCCCTATCTATTAATAGATTTTTTGGTATAAAGTTAAAAATTTGAGGTACTTACGTCCACCCAAACTATTGAAACCGGAACTGCTACACATAGGAAGTATAACATCTAGCATGTACATTGTATGTCTCCAGCACAAACTGTTACACAATAACTACATCTAGATGTAGTTTAATACAATCTAGTTTTCGTTTTGAAAGTGTTTCTGTCTAACGAGTTACTGATAGAAAGATTTGTGTTGTGCTCTGAGGTTATACTAGAGTTTACGAGCCTCAATCACGAATCGTTGCAATAACATTAATTTTTATTGTCTACTATTGTTTGCCTTTAAAGTTTTAGTTTATGGTTCATGGTATTGTGTGCTGTGTGTGAGCTCATTGGGTTTCTGTGGCACAGAGTTATGTCTTTAGTTAAGGTTCTTATATTCGTCTTCTTTACTCGTGGTATATTTATATTGACCTTTACTTACTGTTACCCAGATAATTAGACCGAATAACTAAATGTCCTGCACATTTTTTGCTTGTATTTACCCAGCATCTAACTCATTCCCGCCTGAAAATCTAGTTGAATTGGAAAAACTTAGTTGATGCAGTAGTACGTAAACTATCCTAGTCCTCACCTACCCTAGCTGCGTCATGATGACCTATATATGGTAGCCGACTACTCCCAACTTGTGCCGATCTCTATCACACACACACATAACGTCACACCGATCGATGTCCTCCACTCAACAAGTGATCGACCAAAGGCCAGAGTTCTAGCCTGTAGTCTAAGAGCTGAGATTTAGACAGGACTATCAAACCTGTATCTAAACTGTATTTCCTGAAGGGTATAACCTGGGAGTCTTCAAGGCCCGAGTGAATAGGTTGCTTATGGGACGACGTGCTCCAACGTAGACCGCATCATCGCTTACCATCAGGTGAGATAGTGGTCAAACGTCGCCTCATCAATTATATAAAAAAAAAAAACTATTATTTATTGTCAACTAAGGGTTTTCTAAATTCTTCTAGTTACACTAACTCACTCTCTTGTGTTCTGTCGAGTCGTCATGTAGAAGTCTACGTAAGTAACAATCAAACTTTAAACGTCGTAAAAATAATGTTTATAGCAAAAAAATGTTTATACGATTATTTTCTTGCTTCTAAATATTAAAATAAACGTTATTTATTTTGCATATCGATTAAAATTATTTTAAGTTTTAGTTATTTTACTCAATACGGCACTAAACAAATAGCTTCGCTTACACCGGTCTCCAGTACCGTTTCCTAACCAGTTCCTTACAGTTGTCCCACCGCGCCGCTATACAATAAATTCTAGTTGTAGTTTGTTTATGTTATAAAGCTGGAATATATAGGATTCGCGTTTAAAAGTAGTGTTCTCAGTAGTTAGACTGAAGTCAGGAATGGTATCCAGCTATCCGGAATACCACAGTAGATTTGTTCCCTTCTACATGGGAGGATGGGCCACATAATGTAATTTACGAATACTAGATGTCACATTTAAATTTTAATGTACTTTATGCTCTGCTAGTTTTGTTATCTAATTAATCTAACTAAAGTATGGGAGTGCCATGCTTCGGACACATACACGTATGGACCGGCTCGACCGGAGTGATACCAAGGCTTCACAGAAAACCGACGTGAAACAACACCTGCGTTGTGTTTCGTCGTGTGAATGAGGTTACTGGAGGCTCCCCAATCTCCCGAATCCTCGAATCCCCAACAATTTTCAAATTCCTAATCCCCAAAAGGCCGGTAACACACTTGTAATGCATCTGGTGATTCATGTGTCCATTGGCGACGCCGATTGCTTACCATCAGGTGATCCGAAAGCTCGTTTACCGGCTTATCCATAAAAAAAATTAAAACTTATAATAACATGCCTCTGATAATCATTTAATGTACTCAGTGAACTTGTGGACGAAATCAATTTATTAACATTTGATTTACTGACAGGTTATCTGAGGGTCAGGGATTTGACGCCGACACGTTGTAGTGTTTCATGCGTAATACAACGTCACCTACGATATTACTAGGTCTGCGAATAAAGCATTATAGTTACTAACTTCTCGATAAATGCATTCACTTTTCTATTTTGGACACTTGTTATTTATTTGCATTAAAGCTGCCTGCTGGCACCGATGCGTGTAATTTTGTCAATTTGATTGTTAATTTTGGTTATAACCATCAAATTGTCTTACTTATAAAATACACTATTTGATTAGTAATGTTACTACAAAATTTGATCAATACCAATGAATATCTTAATGTGCAATATTTTCAGTACTTACCCTTATTGCAAGAGGCATTGACGAACTTTCATTTACGTCTGAAATGATCTCTGATTACCAGGCAAGTCATAAAATGAATACAAAACAAATTTCATTTATTACAAAATGATAACGTACCTACTAAAATAAAATAACAAACTGTTTCACTACTGTTAGTGTTCTCACAATACGCACTGTACACGTGTAATACAACTAGCTACTAGCTGGATCGCAATATATTCTTTGGTAGCCCAATGTACAAGTATTGGTAGTCCAGGTGCGTGGGCGCCGCCGTCATAGTCATCGGCTGCGGCACGGGGCACGGACACATGGGCATGCACGGCATGCAGCTCGGCTGATGCTTTCTCTTCTTCCTGCACCATTTGATGGGCGGGCAATGCGGCGTGGTGGTTGCCTGGGTTGTCGTGCTTGTGGTAGTAGTAGCCACTTCCACCATGATTTCTGGCTCCTCCTCCGACTCGGGGCAGACCGGCGGCGTCGGACAGCCGGTTGGGAACGAGGGGTGTGGCATGGGTCTTTCTAGTCATCCGATATGGGAACAAGGAAATAATATGTTAATAAACAATAACAGCGCTTTATCAGGGAAAGTTTATTTAAAGAAATCCTTTCCTAACACTTTCCAAACTTGTAAAAGGTAATCATCTGTCTTACCCATCTCATTCCCGTAGCCACGTTGGGCTGGACGCGACACCGTCCCCGGTTCATGCTGGGGTAGCTGCGGGTGCGACTGCGGGTGCTGCTGCATGAACATTGGCAGTAGTCCCTGCCCTGGATGTCCTGGCGCTCTTGGTTGCACGTGATGCCCTAGCTGTCCAGGCTGTAAATATTGACTAGGTGATCCCAGCGGTCCAGGTTGTCCAGATGGTCCGGGACGTTCAGGTGGGTGCGCCGCTGCTTGTTGTCCCAGCAACAGTGATTTGGCCAACGCTTCGGCACTCCCTCTGACTCCATCCCGCATTCTAATCAAAGTAGTCCGTGCAGATGTAGTACGTCCTTTCATCCTTCAAAATTAATTACTGTATATTTTTGTGTAGTCTAAAGGAACTTTGGCAATTACAATTCAATATTACTCACCCTGATGACATGCAAGTCGAAGTTGTGAGCGCGCACATAGTCGAGACTGTGACTTAGATATGTGCTATAACCATAATAATTAGCTGGTTTATGTAATAACTGTACCTAAGTAAATACCTTTCTCTTCGTCTTTGCTTGCACTCCTCGCACATGGCGCAGTACACCTCCAGCACGGAGGGGTGCTCTGTGTTCTCGTGGCAGCGGCGACAAGAGATCCTGCAGTCTATGTAGCCCGTGCTGGGCGGCAGCGAAGTCACCAGCACCGCCAGTATCACGAGCACTTGATACCTAGGCAGATTATGTAGACGACAGCTTATACATTAGTTGTGTGTCCATAATTCCTCATCAAAATTATGGAGGTCAATATAAATGTATACAGGGCCATATCGCCGAGTACCGCTGACTAAACAGGATGTTCCGTTGATATGTTTGCTTTTCACCGCTCAAAACGTAATTAATTTCATATAGTTCAACGCCTGGACTCCTGGACTGGAGGTATATAGGCTGGTTGTGTTTTTATCGATAGTTGTTCATAGATTTAATGTAGTGATTTATGTAATAAATAAACGCACAATCGTAGGCCTCATCGATCGTTTTATAGTTAAACTATAATATGTAAATATACAAGAAAATATTAATTATTTACAAACCCATACCTGATCCTGTCATTGCGTTCTCCAATATCCATTCTGAACGCAGACGTGTGAAGTTTGTGTTGAAGTTACACACTGTTTGTAGACGTTTGTTCGAGGTGGTGTACTGATGCTCTGCGTGTAATATATTTCAGTGGTCGTTACGCAAACATTGCGAAAGCAATTTATGTGCCGTGAAGTTATTTGTTTTAGTTATCGAGGCTCCAGGTGTTTAGTGTTTCGGAGGTGACGACTGACGACGGTACAACGTTCTGTTCTCGTGTCTGCAGCATTGACGTCTTGCTCAGTTGTTGGGATTTTACTAAATTATTTATTTAACTTCAATTGTAAACGCTCGTGTCGGTTGAACTTTACCACAATGGTAAAGATTTTAGATTATTAAGATCTTCCTAACTTACACACATCATCTCGGTTAGATATTAAAATAGCCTTTGTTATGAATTGATACTAAACAGAATACGTAAGTTACTCTCGAAATACAACAGGCGGCCACAAAACCCTTCAAAGAATCGTTTAACATGCATCGAGGCACTACATAGCCTTTGACGTTATTCTTGTATGTAGATTTAGCGATCTAGTCGAGCTAGACAACCAAGTATTCTGTTTCAGCACATTTACTTTACCTGAAATAGGATGAAAGTAAAGACTTAAAGAGGAACCACGTCTTTGTTTCCCTTAGCATTTTTTTCAATCTAATTTGGCATTGATTAGATCTTTTTGCTCCACGAAGATATTGTCGAAGACTTCGCGTCAAACAATTGTGAAACAAAAGTAGCGAGCAGGTTAACACAAATAGGGTTGATAATAAAACACGTAGAACAATGATCAATTGAAGAGGAGGGTGCGCCGGTAGCCGGTCGTTAGTCCGGCTACCGGCCGTACGGGCCGTAAGCCGTAACCGGCACAATGAGCCGGCGGCCGTCACTCTCGGCCGCACGTGTGTGGACTACGGATAAGCCGAGTTCTACACACCACGATTCCACTCACAGAAGCTTAGCTTTGAAATTTATTTACAATATTTTGGAAATACTACGAACTATGTATTATAGAGTGGACAAGTTACTTGTCAAATGCGTATTGCGTAATTGAAAAAAAATTAATGAAACTGTTCAGCATATCCAAAAACGAATAGGTACTTTTACTCAACTAAGGATTATCAGGCAACAGCCACGAAGCAATATAAAACAATAAATCTGTCGTACAGTATTAGAAAAGTTTAGTAATTACTTGCCGCGTGACTTGCTTTGTGTTGGTGGTGAGCCTCCTGCACCCCTCATGTGTGGTGGCACTGGTGGCTCGCCTGACGTCTGTCGTGTACGGGTCACTTAGTTTGTTTTTATTCGCAAATAGGATTACGGGTTCAGCCGGAGTGCCTGCCGTGTTGCCGTGTTTCTACCAGGAAAATACAAACATTTTGTTGTTTATTATTTTACACATTTTCCGATTAAATTCCGCAAATAGTTACTAACCTACTTAGTTTAGTTAGTTCTGGCAATATTTGTGTATCTGTTGTTGATTTGCTAGTCAGTATGTTCGATTAAAATAATGACGAACAATATTTTCATTCGTTGCAAAATTAATTACAATCGCAAGGCAGTTACATCCATATGTTGTAGTTACATTGAACCGTGCTACATTGTACGGTACAGTACCAAGTCAATGTATTCAATATACGACACAATACATTTAGTTCACTGACAAAAGGTTTCAATTATCCTGAGAAGCAAACACCCGTAGCAATAAGTGATTTAGGACTTTAGCCTTTACGTGAACCGTCGACTGGTTAATTGGATTCGTAGTAAATTTCGAAGTATAATTGCTAAGTTCCCCCTAATTTATTACAGTTGATAGCTCGATGTAATATAATAATCATTAAAAACATTTCTTTAATTAATTAATCACTCAATGATAGTTTATCCAATGAAAGAATGTCAATTTAGTAATAATAAACGCGGGTGCGAGATATCTTCCATGGTAATCGTAACATCAAGCACATAGCTATGCCGGGGGAGCGGCCGGCCGTGCGTGATCCGACTCCGTAACGCACGGACCGGCAACCGTGTCCGTGTTTTTGTTGTGAACACCATGTGTGAGACACAGAATGCCAACGTCTGTTGTTATTGTATTGTCAGGCCATTCTTTGTTTACTTACTACAGTTACCTGTCTCTAATATAATTCTCCTAAGTTGCTCAAAGGCTCAAGATTTCTTTAGAAGTAACTCCTTCGATTGCTCTTTTCCTCAATTAATTTGACCAGCGAATTCGGTTAAAAAGTTTAACGAACAAGTTTCGGAGTCCTGTTTAATTAATTTAACTTGAGTTTGTTTATATTTCAGTTAATAATTAAGTCGGTTTTCATGAAATGCACACTAATGGAAGGGCTTGCAATCTTTTCTCGTTCTCAATCATTCTCATCATCTTCTTTGGTATTAGTAAATATCAAGTTTGAGGTACACTAGCGCGTAGTATGACTTGTTATAATTTATATTGGTGTCTAGGAACCGCAGCGTTTGCATGCACCACGCGCCTGCACGCTCAAATTAATTTAATATTGTTGGCACTTCATATTATGTAAACTGTGTCAAATCACTTGGACAATAATTTAATTTGCAAACATGTTATCACGTTTTACATTTATTCTGTTTTGAAATCTGTAGGTACTGGGCATTTATTTATCCGTTGATTTGTGTATTAGGCAGTTTGTGGCTCAGACGTGACAATTGATTTGAAGAGGCGACGCGATAATAGAGTGCCTCTCAAACGGAATTTTACAACATGGCCGCGACACGTTCCCTCTCGTTGATGATTTCACACGTACATAATTACATGATATAGATACGCATATATTACGTAATTATATTAATTGTCCTTTAATTATTATGCAGCTAGTTGTACTGGTTTCTGTGTTAAGTTTTATAGACTTGAACCTAACAGAATGACACGAAGTGTTCTCTGAAACAACTGCGATTAACCCTTTAACCGCCAAGATTCTGAACTTTCAACTTACCTCCAGCGCCACGTCACTTTAGGTATAAGTTGGAACAGTGTTGGAAACACTTAATATCGATGCATATATTCTTTAATCATTAAAAAATTAAAATCAATGTTTTATTTACCTACTTAATAAATAATCTAAAAATTTTCAATCTTCAAACGAAGTATACGAAAATGTGTATTCGGGAAATGGGCACGGCGTCGTCCGTTCTCCTGCTGGCGACGGTGACGATGCTCCACGAGCATGTCGTATTAAATTTAATAATTTCATGTAAACTTCTGAGCGGATTTCCGACAGTACGGTTTCCAGCTCAAAAGGTTTTAAAGATGCAAAGTATTCATTTCGTGGATCACTTGGTCTCTGATCAAAAACTTTTGCGTCACCATCTTCTAACTTTGCATAATGGACACATTTGGTTTTGACTGTGTTGATTTATTTGAGAAATAACAAAAACCCAAAAAAGGGCTTACAACACTAGTTGCATTGAGTGATAAATGTTTAACGTGATTTTACGGTGACGGCGCTAAGGCAACTCACAATACAGCGCTATAATCTCCTTGGCCGCACGTAATATTACGATGATGGCGACCGGCGATTGTCCGCACTAGTGCGGTTCTGCGTTATGAAATTTTTATATTATTGTTATAAATATTAAATAATTTTAAACTTAAATACATTTTAATTAGTACAAATACTTGCATCAAAGTAACACTATGGTTATTTTCTAATGAAAGTATACACTTTCATTGCAAATAGTGACAGTAATATCTATAGTGCCTTGTTTGTTCTTAGACAACCTATTAAGTATTTTTCGAATTCGCCCCATCCCTAGTACTCGTAAAATTACGTGATTGGCGATACAGATAATGGAGACGGTGACCACAATTTAATTAAACCTCAAATTTCACAGTATTTATCACTCAAAACATTGAGAAATATCCATAACAATAAAGATTATACCCTACATCTTGAAATTGACACATTTTATATGGAGTTTGTGCACTATAAGAAGATTTTTAATAAAATAACGTGATTGTACGTATGTGGCGATTCGGACACAGCTTTCGAAAACCGTAATATTACGTTGTCGGCGGTTAAAGGGTTAAAACCACGTTTGACTGTTGTGCGCATTTATAAGCGATGGGGAAAATAGAAAATTATATAAGTATGTACAATAATACCGCACTGATGTTTCGCTATTAGGTACAGAGGACCTGAAAGCTATAACTGAGTGTAGATATAAACAAGCCATATACTAAACGACAGATAGTATTCATTATGAATTGACTAATTGAATGATGACTCGGCAATTTTTCCACGATTTAAAAACTTACTATACATAGTGAATAACATTCCACGACAGAATAGTATCGATTTGAGCCTAACGCACGGAGAATCGATTGTCAGTAACTCGGTACTCGCCGCTAACGATTATTGTCGACCGTCTAATTGCATAGACAATAGTTGGCGCCCTCCGTCATATTATACCGAAGTTCATACGGGCAATTGAGGATCGATATTGTTGTATTTAATTAGTTGGTACGGGTATGTGGTGTCCAATAATGTGAAACAAATACTGCGTATTGTAAAACAGTTCCCAGGGCAACCTTATTTGTACATACAATTATGGTTTTATGATTATTTTACGTGTTGTACAAGCAATTAAAGTAATTAGGTAGGTAAGCTGGCTGGTTCCCTATTAAAGAAAAGTACGTTTCTTCAACAAGGAAACATTTAGCGAATATGTCCCTGGTATCTTGAAGGTAGTGGTTCCAAAATAACCAGTTGTCAAGCAACCAACAATACAGTAAACAGTAGGGACAGTTGGAAAAATGTTTCATAGTCTGCCATGTTTAATATATCTACCTTTCTTCGGCTTCACTTCGTTAGCGAAAAAATATTTATGGAAAGCACACAGCGGGTGGATGTACCTCTATACTTACACCTACCCACATGTAACGTATGTATAGTCTGTGTTAGACACGTTAAAGCGTTAAATTGGCTCACTCTTACTCTCTTACCGGCTTACTTGACGATGTGACGACACACAGAATTTTTTATCACTCCATCTGACGAGCGCTAAAATTAAACTCGGATAAAACTCACCTGATTACTTATTTATGTATCGACACTAACAGTTTGTTTATAATTCAGTGGAACCTGTTTGTTTAGCAATATTTTATGCGAACACGTTCTAACAACTTGATTGATTGGTTTAGTTACTCTATAAGCTGGAAACCTGTCCTTATTGCATTATGAAAATACGAACCGAGGCTCGGGACATTTCACAAGTCTACGGAGATATAGCTCTTAATATTAATTAGGAATAATAATTGTGTTAATTATACTTTTTTCTTTATGATGTTACATTAACAGTGTCCTGTTTTTATGTTCCAGGTATAAAATGTCCGGTGTGCAGCAAGTTTGTATTGCCGGACGACATAGAGTGCCATCTTGTCATGTGTCTTACCAGGCCAAGACTCTCATATAACGGTACGTAACTATTCCTTTAATTATCCATTATAACTACAGTCCTGTAACTAACAAATACGACACGATAAATGACACTGCCATGGTGTTATATTTAGTTTAAAATAAGGTAAATTGTATGCAAATGAGTCAGCTGAATACACAAATTAATTGCATACCTTACCTCCGATTTAGCGCAGAACATAAACAACCTAAGAATTAAGACTAATTGGACGTAGTTAAACAGAAAGGACTCAATCCACAAAAAGTTACTTTTGAGATAATTGCGTTTAAAGTTTTAGCTGTAATTTCTCTAACAAAATGGAAAAAAATTTAAAATATTTGCCCGTGGTTACTAAAAAGGTATCTTATACTTTATTTGACCGTCAACTGATTGTTAAATTTTGCTATAGATTTTGAAATAATCGAAATTATGATATCATCGAGTTCCTCCATGTTTTGCTAATAAGTTTAATAACTGAATGTCCCACCACACCGTTATTTCTATATATACAGC